CAAACTGGTTAATTTAAAATGCAATATGAGTGTGAGCTTAGAAAGAAAGATAAATATAAAGTAAGCAACAAGCTAAGGAGATTCATACACACATGCAGCTCTTATTGAGCTACCATCAGATGCATGGCATTCTCCTAAGCACATGACACCATTACAATGGACAGAGCAGGTCCACTTACACATGTATCTTACACTCTGCTGGGGGAGATGGTTAATTACAAAACACATTTTTTTAGCATTAAGTATTACAATGAAAATCAAACAAGGTAACTAAGTGAAGAGTGATTTGGGGGCTATTTTAAGCTGGCTATCCAGTAAGAGTCTATTTAATGCCAAAGAATGGGATTTCACTGCCCAGATTTTGTTTCTTGACAGGTCCGTCATTTCAATACTGCTTACTAGAGATATCTCACAAAGACTAAAGAATGTTTAGCAAAAGACTTCATAACCTGATTAAAAGCACTTGCTACTAAAAACCAAGAGGGTGTCAGAAGAAAACCTAGGAATTAATGCAAAGCTATGAGACCTGAGTCATAAAGATAAAAAGAAAAACCCATAATGGAAACTATGCCTAGTAATTCTCAGGAGAAAATGGAACAATTTCAGAAGAACTAATACTTTTTTTTCTTTTTTTCTTTTTATTTTATTTTAAAGTTACAGGATGCATGTGCAGAATGTGTAGGTTTGTTACATAGGTATACATGTGCCTTGGTGGTCTGCTGCACCTATCAACCCATTATCTAGGTTTTAAGACCCGCATGCATTAGCTATTTGTCCTAATGCTCTCCTCCTCCCCTTCCCCACCGCCCACTGACAGGTCCCAGTGTGTTTTGTTCCCTTCTCTGTGTCCATGTGTCAGAAGAACAAATACTCAATCCTTAATAAATGAAAAGGCAATCACTGATGCAAGTTTCTTGTGAATTCTTCCAGAGGTACCCTATGCATAGGATGCTTGTGAATCTTTTTCTTAGGGTGTGATCTGGCTTGTGTGTGGGGGAGAACATACCCTAACTTGCTATAAAACTCTTCTGTACTAATTTTTCATATTTAAAGCATTTTAGAAATTATTCTATATCAGTACACAAAACTTTGTCTCTCTTTTAAAAGCTGCATATTGACCTATTATTTATTTAACCATTAAATTTGCAGTGTAAATGATAGACATTGAGGTCATGTGAGGAATTGGCCACCTGTTCACCAAACTCATTTCTTTTTCCTGAGCACACAGCTGGGCCTTATTTCCCAGCTTTCCTCACACTTTGGTGTGGTCCAGTGACCGTGTCCTAGCCAATAAAATGTGAATAGAAATGATGGGTGCCATTTCCAGGCCTGGCCCATGAACACCTGATCCTCCATGCTGTTACCCCTTTCACCAATTTGATGCACATAAGCAAGATGACCTTAACAAGCTCATGCTGAAAATGGTGGAACCACAGAATACAAGGATCCTGAGTTTCTGAATCAATGTTTGAAGGAGAACCACTAATCAATCAGGGACACCCATGCTGGACTTTAAATAAGTGATAAATCAACTTCAAATGTGTTTGAACTATTGGAAGATTTGTTAGTTACAGTAAATAGTATTATTATATAAAGTTGTTCCCATTTCTACTACTATAGAAACTGGAGTGTTGAATTTTACCTAAGACCTGTGCTCCTGGAAAACAGGGGTGATTAAAGACATCTCCCCACTCTTTTGTGTTCTCTTCTAAAGAGAAACACGCTTCCCCATGTGCCTTAGCCAGACATGGACACTCCAAATATCCAAATTTTGTCTTACACATGATTAGCTGAACTGTTTTGTTCCCTATAAGCAATAGAAGCAAAACATCTATTAACCAAACTTTGGTTAAATTTCTCTCCCTTCCCCAGGCTCACCCTCAGCCTGAGTGAGCATAAACTCCTCCTTAACTGTCCATTCCAACAGTAAGCTGTCCTGAGAGTTAATATATGTGGTGAGCACATGGTTAGTGTTAAACAAATGTTAGCTATTACTATGAATGGATTTAGTGGACTTCATCAGTTCACCAGTTTCCTGATGGGAGCCCCAAGGCTTCCCTCAATTCTCTTTTTCCTTTCACTGCCCCTTCCTTCTCCAGAGGGCCCACACTACAGTCATTCCTAAGAACCCTGGCTTATGAACCCCAATAGCAAAGGAAGGAGAGAGAAGCAGAAACAGGGGGGGAAAAAGAGGGAGGAAAACTGACAATGAAAGCCAGCCTTCTGCTTCACTCACACTGATGTTAGAGCAGAAGTAAAACGCTTAAAAAATAAAATAAAACTGCCACAGCTTTAGAACACCTTCATGTAAATTAATAGCTTTAGCACAGCCTAGAAAGACATGTCAAAATCAGAGGGAAACAGCTGGGAGCACTGGTTGAAGTCTTCAGCCAACTTTGGCTGTGAACAACTTTGTGCCTTATTACAGCTCTCCACTCTCTCCCCTGAGCTTGGCATGGGGCCTGGCACATAGAAGGCACTCAATAAAACTCTCCATGAATGGATGAAGGAATCACCACACAGTTTCTCCATTGAGAGAATGGAGGTCGGAGGTCATCTGGCCATAGATCTGGCCATTAATACCAGTCAAGGAGGCCCTTTAAGACTTTTTTTCTTAAGTTCCCAATCAAATCTCTACATCGTTTTTTCAAGAGATTCAAGAGGTAGAAAGTCAGAAGACCTTTTGATGAAGCCTTTGTAGTCCTCCATTTACTAGTCAGCTTTTGGGGGGTGATCTCGGCTTTTCTGGATAATACTCACACATTATGGTTAAAACCCCAGGGAAGTCTTTTCCTCCCAATTTTTACCTTCCTTCTCAGTTTCCCTTAAGGTGTTGTCCCTTCTAATACCATTCTAAATCAGAAGAATACCTGTGAGCCTGTGAAGCCACTTGGGCCCCTTACAGGTGAGGAGAGGATGGTGGAGGGCTGAGGAGGCTGGAATACAGGAAGGCGTCATGCCACCTTCTAGCTTTCAGTGCAGTGGTCCTGAGGGAAAAGTCAGGCAACTGTGAAAGATGAGGGTCGGGTGAGGGTTAGGCCAGAAAATCTCTATAAGCCTCTCAGTTCTAATATTCTGTAAAACTGAGCATGGCACCTAAGAGCATTGTAGTAAGGTTGAGTTTTTCATTGAATTTATAACTGGTTCTACATGCTAGGCATGAACATATGTCCCCTAACCCAAATCCCCCTTCATAGAAGGATTTGGTGTCCAGCATGGAGACTGTGATCAGCAAGACAGTTTCCAGCTGTCAGCTGCTTCAGGGTCTAGTTCAGCTGTAGAGAGCTGTCTCACCCGAGGTCATGCCATTCCAGGACAGCCAACTTCCAGTGACTGGGCAAGGAGGCTATACAGGCACAGTCATTTGGTCCAAAGCAAGGTACCCTAACAAGCAATACTTGCCCACAGCTGCCTGCCCCAGGTTGGCCGAAGCTTGGTCAGACTGGCATCACAGTTTAACCTCTCCTTCTGCCCAATCCTGCTTCCCCTTCCCTTCACAGGTGCTGAGCCCTAATAATTCATCTGTTACCCCAAACTCTGCTGGAAGCATCTGCTTCCAGAAAACCCTACCTATGACATTTTATACGAGTCCAAAGGGTGAGTTTCTAAATTACTTGGAATAAATGGCCTCCCAAGAGGACTATTTGAAAGAACAAGTTTCACTGGGAGAGGTAAGCTCTATTATGTTGGTTTGCAGGGGGAAACTGCTTCAGCACTTCATACATTTTAGTCCTTTAACGAAGAGATTGTGATCCCCTGTTATGGGCAAATACAGAATTTGTGGCTGAGAGGAAAGTTTTGATTCAGAGACCTATGGGCTAAATTCTCTTTGAATTTGGTGTCCGTGTGATGCTGGAAAGCGATGGTATGTGGTGGGAGCAAAGAATAAGAAGCAAGTCCAATGACTCATGCAGTTTGAAGGTGGATCAGTTTGAGTCATGTCTAGGAAAAAGGTGAAGCTATCACTGCTAATGGGATGGCAGCTCAAGGAAATGGAAAGGCTGTTACCAAGGCAATCTGAAGAACCAGTGTGCAATCTTAGCTGCCTCTTTTCTGCAGGGAAATCAGCAATGAGAATAGGACAACTAAACAGAAATCTTTGTTTTTCAAAACCTACTAAGTTGTCCTAATTCCCCTGCAAAATAAAATTCTCCTCAGAGAGAACGTCTTATGAATATGATGTCCTTAATGAAGGTGAACGCTGACTTACTGCAGAAGAAATAAAGCAGGAATGAGAAAGGACTTTGTATGGCACACAATGATAGGCATCCTCTGAAATACACATTTATGTGGTTACTTGGACATGTGGTTTAAACATGCTTTAGAAAGTTTTACTAAATATAGAGCTATCATTTATAGTTGGTTAAATTCAATGTTTATGGCTCTTCTTATAAAATGTTGCTTAGGAAAATAACTCCATTTTAAACTAGAGCTATAATTTGTAGCAGACAATATTAGAGACTTACCTGCACTCAAATACAGCCAGAAGTACCTAGAAATTTACTTTTCCCTGAAGCAGCCCTTGACCGATTATTGACAAATGTAGAGTAAGAAGGTCCAGCTCCCTTGTCTGGGAGTAAGAGTAAGAGCTAGGGACACTCCCATCACCAGGATTAACTTAACCTGTATGGTTCCCAGTGAGATCAAGTTGAAGCTTCCCCCTGTGGGACCTCGCATGAAATCATATCCTTAATTGGTTCCCACTCCTTCCCTGTCTTTCTTTCCCTACTCCCCTGCCAGTCTCCCCTGGGAGAACTGGTACAATAAATCACTTGCACACAAACCCTGCCCTTGAGTCAGTTCCTAGAGAACCCTATCTAAGACCATTGTATCCCAAATGTCCTGGCCCTCACTAGCTTATAGATCATAAAATAAAATTACATTCTTTTTATACCACAAAAATCATAGCATATGCCTCCTTTTATTCTGTTATTCATTCAAAAGATATACTGTGCTAAGAGCTGGGGATACAGAGGCAAACACAGTTTCTATCTTTGCAGAGATTAAACTCCAGGTCTGAGGGTCAGATAACAGCCCTCTTCAAGATAACCAGTCAAGTTTGGCGCTCCAGTCCCTGAGCCATGTTGATCCGTCCTGCTTTGACTCCACCCCTTTTCCACATCAGCTCCTGTGCAGCCACCCCAGAAAAACACCACTATTCATTTACATTGGCTGATTCTCCATATGTTCAAACCTTCCAGTCCTCAAGAAACAAGTACGGCTGAGTTCTGGGTAGAAATGGAGAACATGACCCTCTCCTCACTCTGTGCCATGTTTTATATAAGAAATAAAGAAGAAGCATATAAATATATATGTGCATATGTTTGCATGCATGTATATACACATATATATTAATATGTTACATAAATACAAAATATATCTTATTTTTACAAACAGAAACTAACAAAAATGAGGGGAAGTTTGGAAGAGATAGAAATGAGAATATTTCCGAGTATATTTTTATACAGTTTTTAGTTTTGAAACATGTAAATGTTTTACATATTCAAAAAAATAAAATTAAAAAAGAAAAATGTACTCCATTAAACAAAATACAAGTAGAAACAAATGATGCAAATTATATTTTGGTTTGATAAAATATCCACCCAGAGGAAATAGTTACTTTGAATAACATATAAATGCAATCAGTAGATTTATTGCTAGTAGACATAAGAAAATAAGTGTGTATTAATGTTATTACAAACCAAGATTTTCAATGTAAGACAATACACGATAATAAAAGAATAAAAATGCCATAATTTTAATTACAAACACTATGAATTCATTATTCTTTAAAAAAAATCTTATCTCTGTCCACCAAAAATTGTCACAGAGCAATAATAGTCCAGAAGGAACAAGGCATCTAGCCCCCAGATCTTGGTTTCTAATTCTCCACTAATATATATACTGGGGTTCCCTTCAAAAACAGCTGATTTTAGGAAATGTGCAAGATGAGCCAAGAACATCTTGTTATGTCAAAAAACAAAACAGTGCTCAAAGACTAACAGAGTCATGTTGAAAGGACCCATAACCCAGCTTGCAGGAGCATCTACTGTCCTTTGAAACAAATGTGAACATCAGAAAGAATATCTATGATGGTTGTAATACTCTGAATAAACAAACATCCATGAATTCATAATGAAACTCAAGAAAGTGAAGCAAAGGAGAAGAAAGAGGGAAAGAAATAAAGCTCTTATTTCATAATAAATGTAAAAGTAATAATGGAATTTCAGAAAATTACCACATTGCTATCCCTACTGTAAAATTTGTCACAGGCAAAGATCCTTAATGGATGCTAAAATCATTGAGTGAAAAGTCTCTCTCCACAGATTACTTATGAGTTGCGAAGGGGAAAGGGTACTCTTATAATGGCGGAATCTGGTAGTCACCACCTTAACCAAGTGACCAAACCTGAGTTTCTAATAGTAGGATAACCAGACCTTGCATGCCTTATTATACAATGCAATAAGAAGTATACAATGTATGAAATATTCTTGCCAGACAGATTTAACCTAAATCTAATCAAGCTTCTAAACCTAACTTCTGATGTACAGACAAGAAAATAGCAGTACAAGTTCAATAACACTATGAAGAAGCAAGCAGAAAAATCTAGAATTTGGGACATTTTACATGACAACTGGCTGGATTCTTTTAAAAATCAGTGTAAACTGGGAGGCCGAGGTGGGCAAATCACGAGGTTGGGAGACCAAGACCATCCTGGCTAACATGGTGAAACCCCGCCTCTACTAAAAATACAAAAAATTAGCCAGGCGCGGTGGTGAGTGCCTGTCATCCCAGCAACTTGGGAGGCTGAGGCAGGAGAATGGTGTGAACCCAGGAAGCGGAGCTTGCAGTGAGCCGAGATCGCGCCACTGCACTCCAGCCTGGGCGACAGAGCAAGACTTCGTCTCAAAAAAAAAAAAAAAAAAAAAGTGGATAAATATTCTAGACAAAGAGACTAAATATCCATAACATCCAAATGCAATGTATGAGCCCTTATTAATCCTGATTTTCAAAATAAGTATATCCATTACATTTTTGAGACAATTGGGGAAAACTGAATATGGATTGGATATTAAATATTACAGAACTATTGTCGTTTTAGATAACAATATTGTGTATGTGTAGGACTACATTCTTATTTTTAAAGTGATGCATGCTAGTACACATACGAGTGATTTATGATAGCCGCAACCTACTTTCAAATGGTTCCACCAAATATTAGATGTAGAAAGGGATAAAGCAAATATGGCAAAATGTTAACGACTGTTGAATATAGGTGGAGGGTATACAAATATTCACTGCACAATTCTTTTCATTTTTCTGGTGCCTAAAATTTTTCAAAATAAAGAGATGGGAATGAAAACAAGATCATAGGATCCCATGATGGGTATAGGCCCTCACCAAGGAGTAATATCAACAATTCCCATTCCCATTTATCATCCCTTTGTAGTTATTATAAATACAAGATACACCACTGATGACTAAAATAACTTACATTTAGAAGGAGGTATGCTTTAGACCTTAATTATGCAGATTTTAGAAAAACATATCACTTTCCTCAAGTAGCTCCTAAAGTTATGTCACTCAAGAGATATATATGGCCTTCTTTAAACTTGAGCCACTTTCAGATATTCCTTTGTTCATAAAATTGGCTTAAGCATTTGTGAAGGTTTGAGGCGTCATTTGCCTCTTGCCAGTATCAAATGAGGTATTGGATTGTGTCCGAACAATCTGCAGTTTCTATAAATACTTGATAAGATCTACTTTCTCTATTTAAAATAGAAAATCATTTGGACTCTGCTAGAAGCGAAAATGTTCTTTTTATTCAAGTAAGAAGCAAGTATCTTCCCTGCTTATTCAGTTTTCTAGATTCTACTACTTTTAACATTAAAATGAACTCATGTCACGCAAAGGATCCTGTGGATTCCAGCATCATCTTTTACAAATAAAGACACAGATCTGCAGAGCTTAAATGACTTGTAGGGGTCATATAGTGACCTAGATCCAAAGTTTTTGACCCTCAGTAAAAATATAAAAATTTCTACACAATATTGCTCTATCACTTACTGTGTGATCTAGGACAAGCTGCTTAACCTCTCCAAGCCTTGGAGGTAATAATACTATGGCAGCTGCCTCACGTATCCAGCATCACAACCCCTCAATTCACCTCTGAATTCAGATGCAGCTGTGATGAGAGTTCACTCTGTGGAAGTTCACTTCTGTGGGAGTTCAAGGTCACCTTATGCTAACAGCTCTCCACCTCAAGCATTCACTGCCTGTCCCTTCCACCCATTCCCCCTCCCTCTTTGTCGTCCTCATCTGAAGGGAAAAGAAGGGGCTCTCAGAAGTCAAACAAGAGCTGGCCACTTACCTCCTTGACGTTTATTATAAAATGAAGAAATTCTAAAGCAAGTTACAAAAAATGATTACATATAAAGAGTTTATATTAAATAAATTAGTGACAAAAATGCAGTTCATAACATATTTACAGAATTTATTTTTTAAGGTCATTTCATAGTATACAATACAGAGTGTGGTCCCACAACCAATCACATGTTTAAAGCTGGGGATAAACATCTCATTTCAATTCTGTCCAAGTGTAACTAAGTGAACAATTTATTTGAAAATAACATCACAAGTCTAAATGTGAAGCCTTTTGTGCATATGAGACTGAGGCTGCAAATTCCACCTCACTCAAAGATCTGTGACCAGGGTTCTGTTAAGCAACACTGAAACTGGAATGACTCCAATGTCTGTAGACTAGTGAATGACAATTTGTGGCACATCATACAATAGAATACTACTCACCAATAAAAAGAATTCACTACTGATCAATTCAAAAACTTAGATGAATATTTAGAGCATTATGGCAGAGAAAGAATCCCAACACGCACAAAAAGGCACGCTCTGTGATTCCATTTATTTAAAATTCTTAAAAAAGCAAAACTATAGGGACATGAAGGAATACCTGTGGTGGGTAATTTATAACGGTATTCCTTTATGGCAACACAAATGGACTAAGATGCTACTGTATCAAAAAGTTTTCTCTTGCTGCCTTGCAGTCAAGCCTCTCCCAGTCCCTGTCAACCACTGATATGATTTATAAAGGTTTATTTGGCTCACATTTCTGCAGGCTATAGAGGAAGAATGGCACCAGCATCTGCTTCTGCTCAGAGCCTCAGGTTGCTCCCACTCATGGTGGAAGGCAAAGTGGAACTGGTATGTGAAGATCACATGGTGAAAGAGAAAGCAAAAGAGAGAAGTGTCAGACTCTTTATAACAACCAGCTCTTTCAGGAACTAACGGAGCAAGAACTTATTACCTCGAGAATGGCACCAAGGCATTCGTGAGGGATCCCCCTCAACGAGCCAAACACCTCCCCTTAAGCCCCATCTCCAACACTGGGGATCGAATTTCAACATGCGCTTTGGGGGACAAACATCCAAACCACAGCAAGTGGAAATGTTCTATAACTTGATCGTGGTGATTATTACATCACAATATAAATTTGTTAAAACTCATTGAACTGTACATTAGACATAGTAATATGTGTTGCATGTACATTCTACCGCAACAATCCTAAAATGAAAGCGAACCTGCAGTAAATAAGCATACAAAATACATATACTCGAAAATTTTTTAACATAAATTTATGTTTTCTCATAAAGAGAAATATCCCTACAGAAAACTTTGCAACTTGCCCATCTTCTAATGTGTCCTCCACTTCTGCTTTTCTCTATATTATCAGGAGCAAAAATATGTAATTTTCACATAAATCAAGAAGGAAACGTGATGAGCAGAAGGAGTCCAACATATGTATCCACAAGTGAATCAAATGTAGTGCCTTTCCGAGATGTTTTTCTCCAAAATTCTCTCCTATCTTAACAACAACAACAAAAATTGCAACATTGTTTTCTTGCTGTTTTTTCAGAAATCTGGGTTCTGGAATACTATTATAGTTTATACAATTCTAAGAAAGAAGTTCTAGAATTATATGCCAGTGCATTTCAACAATACCAAAATAGTTCTAGTGACTGAAACCGAGAGAAGTGGGAGAATCGAGAAATGTTTCAGATATTGTATTTACTCAGACTCAAGAATGCACAGTTGAGGCCAGGCGCAGTGGCTCATGCCTGTAATCCCAGCACTTTGGGAAGCCAAAGTTGGCAGATCACCTGAGGTAAGAGTTCAAGACCAGCCTGACCAACATGGCGAAACCTGTCTCTACTAAAAATACAAAATTTAGCTGGGCGTGGGGGCGGGCACCTGTAACCCCAGCTATTCATGGGACTGAGGCAGCAGAATTG